TGTGAATTGGGACTGACCCATCTCGGGGGTCATTGGCCAATTTTCCGCAGCGGTCGGTCTGAAATCCCTGCACATGCCAAGCGATGCTGGTGAGTGATTCGATCGTCCCTTAAATGGCTGTAAGCATTGACACTCAGAAGTTTTTACCTCCCACACCTGAAACTTTTCAAAGCATGAATAACGTTTCATCATTTGCATTTGACATTTGATATTACTGTCAAATTGATAGAGTGCTACACTACTCTACAGGTACTACAAAGTCTTCTAATGTGCATTTGCAATTTGTAATATATAAAAATCCTCATTCGTTCTTTAAAATTAGCTTTGACTGCATCCATTTGTCTCTGTCATAAACTAGAATAATAATTTGACTCAGTTCTCAATAACAGTTCTCTTTGGCATCTGTCAGGCTTCGAACTTAAAGCTGAAGTGTGTACATTTTTTAAATGTTAAAATACTTTCTCCATTCCCAGCTAAACTTTAGTCAATCATAAATAAGCCAACACTTTATGTAGGTTGATTTGCTTCACAAAAAAAGTGTAAACACTGTGGCTATGTGGTGCTATCAAAACATTATACTGTTTGTTTAAACAATCCGACCTGCTCAGCATAGCAAAATTTGTTCAACCAATGGAGTGAGTTTGGGGTGGAGTTAAACGTTTAGCCTGACCAATGGCAGATGGAGGGAGTGTTAAAGTGGCATGAGTGGCATACAAACTACACTAACACCTTTTTAAGATCTGTTGTGGAGTGAAATATTCACTTCTCAGAAACAATTGAGTGGTTGTTTCAGTGGGGAAAACACACACAGAAGTGCACTCATCTAGATATCACCTCACCAACTGGAAAATCACCCATAATAGCTCATCTCAAGAGGGTCAAGCACCATGCTGGGCCTCCCAGCATTTTGTGCCAACAGTGCCAACACTGCTAACGGGAGAAGAGAAGCGGACATCCCTAGACCCCCCCCCCCCCCCCAACACATGGTGACCTCTTAGGTCTGGGAGAACTCGAAACAGGGCCAGCATCTCCCGACAATTGAATGCCATGTCAGATGGCGACCACTCCACAGACCGCGGGCAGGGTGGCCACTCATGACCGCACCTCCACCGGTGAGGGATGCATCCGTCGCTAGCATACGCGGCGACAAGGAGCTCCCAGCACCGGGCCCTGAGACAAGAACCAAGGTTTCCTCCACATGTCTAAGGCACGTA